TTTTACGATGATATGCGAGGTAAAATGACAGCTTTTGATTAAGGATTCTGGTGGAAACAGCTGTTCCTGGTTAAACTATCTCTGTAAAATCCTCTCCTTAATTAGAGACACATAGAATAACATTTGGAGCATGTCAGTGGAAAAACAAGCAAAACAAGATGTACTTTGAGGGGCAATATTGCTGCCATTACAGCCCATTTTGCAAATATTGTCACATCAAACTGGGTGAATTAAGAGTTTCTTTCAGCGAAACCAGTGTTGGTGATTGTTGGAAAGACTGTGGAGAGACTAACAAAGACGTTTTTGGTGAGTTTTATTTGCTTTCTGTCCAGTTTGAAGTGTTATTATCTGTGAGGTGAAATGACTAGTTTTATCAAATTCATGTAAGTTTTCAAATTTACATGTAAGTTTTCATAGCATCTGCAGTTTTAGTCGTGCTAGCATCTCAGGGGTGGAACAGTGGGTGCTAAAAGGTTAAATGAGTCAATATGGAGTGTAGGTTATTCATCTTTGCACTCTGTATGGGTGCTGTTGGCAGAAACATTTTGTCTAACTTTAATTGAATACTGACAAACAAAGCTGTCTCAAAAGCCAGAGGACACAGAAACCTGTGCCCCATTCTTCATAAGTGGCTTAACTAATCCATGCTAATATGTTAGCCAGCTAAAAGCAAACTTAGTGCAGCAGGAATGAGGCCTAAAACCCAAAAATGAGTTTGCATTTATTCTTCCGGTGCCCACTCCTTGAAGTCAATGGTTGTTCGTTTAACTGCTTTTAAGATGTTACACCCTCAGCTGGAAGTAATGGGCTTCGGGCCAGGCTCCACTGTCTTTTATGGGATTTGTTGACTGTAAAAAATATAGAATAATGACAGCCTTTCCAAATTTAGGCATGTATCAAATCATCAACAATTAAATGAAGCTAACTCAGCTAGCCACATACAAATGGCTCGGGTCACACACATTGTCTGGCTTGAGAGAGTATATATTAACAGTTCTGTGCCTCCATGCTTGGATTCTTTCACCGCAGTACACTGCTGGCTGTGCGACAATAACAAAGGAAAAGGGGAGGAACTTTTTATCAAGGTCAGGGGTCGGTGAAAGGAATCAGTGCGGGTCAGTCGCTTCAAACTGTGAGAACATGCAGTAGCTGGAACTGACGAAGCACAGCCAGGTTCTCTTCGAGTCAACAAAAACAGGACAACATTCAGGAGATGGCTAAAAATCTAACCCGCTACACAAGAGAGGATGACTCAAAGGTGAGAGACTAGCAGCCCTAATGTGAGTCAGGGGTATTATTAGTCGTGTCATGCTGTGTACATCGAGGGTTAACATGTGTCAGCCATGGCGGGTCATTCTCGTTCAGCCCAATGCATGCACAGTGACCAAGGTGCTCACAACAAAAACACCACCAAAACAGAACAAAAACAACTCAAACTACAAAGAAACAAAAAACAGAGACTTGTGTGCTCAGAGTGAACAACAGAAAGTCAGAGGACAGCTCAGCATCAGTTGCTTCCTACTTACTTCCATATTGCTGTCTAGTGATCCTGCACTGCTGCGTCTCCCACGCTTGCCTGCCCAGAACATGTAACATGACAGATTAGACACGCCTGGTAAACACGTGAAGGTGCACATATTCCTTCTGTCTAGTGCGGTGGGGTGGCAGGGTTGGGGGCGCTAGCACCCTAAGGTGACAAAGATGGCGCACGGCTAGCTAGCAGCAGACTGTCAGTACGGCAGAGGGAGGTGAATAAGAACTTAAAGGAAAGGGAAGAAGCAAATCACTGCTACTACTCCACAACAAGGTTATATCCTCTGGGGTAACTTTTCTACGCAGCAACTTGAGGCCCAGCTGGCAGGAGACCTTCCCCTCAGTAACTTGCAATCTGGCTTCATTAAAGGGGTACTCCAGCAATTTAGCATTTCACATCCATTTAGTTGCAAGACTCACAAGAGACAGATTAAAAACAGAGTGGTCAAAATCAAAGCAGCAGAGGCTATCCTGAGTCCAGAGTATGAGCCACGATCCAAAAGCACTGGAGCCTACATTTCCCATAATGCAAAAAAATTCTATATATTTTTTTAGCCCTTCCCTGTTTGGTAAATGTCCACATCTTTCAAACTCCATACCTGCAGTTTCTAACGGATACTTTCTCTGTAACATTTGTAGTCTCCACAGAAGACATTGTACAACTGTTTTCACAGGCTGAGTAGTACTCCCCATGACTGGTGAACTGACCTTGTGTAGACCTATCAATAAAATTGGTATAGAGTTCCCTTTAAGGATAGGGAAAGCTGTATCAATATGAGTCACTTTTATTTAAACTAAAATTAACCTTTTGTAAATTTAAAGTTCCCCTTTGGTCAGAAATCTGCTTTTCTTGTTCCTACGGTTCAATGTTTTCGCTTCACTGTGCAGAATGCTGTCAGTGCAGAGTTTGACACTAGAAGGATGTTTTCACATTCATCTGCTAAAAGAAAATTTCTCTCTACTCACTAAAAATCACATATTAAGGGGCGGTGCTTATGAGCATGATTTGTGACATCACAAATACTTAGCAATCAAACCTGGTGCAATTTGTACAGTGTAATGTAGAAACCTTAAGCCACCAGTGCACATACAATGAGAATGGACTTTACAGTGAAGACATCTTGTATACAGCGGGAAACTTTAGAGATTAGCTAAATTTGCATATTCATAGATTCTGGAATTTTTTATGAGGCAGAAGGGGTAGATGTATTTTTAAAGATTTGAATGTGTAAAATATATTTTTTTGTGGAAAATACATTATTGTTTTAAGAACACTATATTAATGCTGTAAAGCATGTCTGGAGGGGATCTTAACTTAACAGTTCCTAAAAGAAATACAAGCCTCCAAAAAACAGTGTTGGCAGTGCTTTATAAGGACTGCCAGTAAAATGTGATCAGTGAAAACAAAAAGCTGAATCCACTCTTTGATGTTGCTTTACTAGTCTGAACCCTGTGCTGAGGTCATTGAGTGTGCTTTTGCAGAGCAGCTCTGCAGCGTGGAGGCGACTCTCTACACCCTGCCTGAATCAACCACACAACATTAATTCCTCTTACCACTAAGACGCTCAAATTGATCAGAGTGACCTACATAGCGCTGCCTCCTCCCCGCCGGTGACGCAGGATTACTAGTTAAAGCCTCTAGTAAATTACACCTGGGCTCATCAGCAAACACACCCATCTCCATCACCATCTCCTCGCTTCCTTGGCTCCATGGCTCAGGGACGGGGGTGTCTGTTCACCGAGAGACTCTGCATTGGCAGGTCAGTTGTAGCTACCAGCCAAATCAAAACTGTACAGGAACAGGAACTCAGCTTCTTCCAAGTTTCAAAATCAATTAACACCCAAAAGGAGAGAATTGTATCATGCCAGCATCCAGCTCGGGTATATACTCTACTTTGTCTAGCAGAGGGATAGGACATGAGAAAGCAAGTTACCATGGCAACCCCTGATATTACCTGCATCTGAGAGGTCACGTAGGGAGCTGCTGAGGGCGCTCCTCTTCAAACCTTCACCAATGGCGTAGCTGTCGTCAAGGCTTGCTCGGCTCAGGTTGCCGTTGCCAGTCTCCTTCTTTAACCCTGAACTCTGGGACATGCTGGGCCTCACCATCCCCTTCTGTTTTTCTAGCTCAGCTGTGCAGGAGACACATATGCAACGTTAACAGTAATCCTCTCTCCTCAATTTTTTTATTTGAACTGACTGAGGATGGATATTTGTTGAGCACAGATATCTAGAGGAAAACACAGAGGTGGGTCATGTCATTATTTTGCAAGTAAATCTCAAGTCAAGACTGACAAGTCTCAAGTCCTAAACTTGGAGTTCCGAGTCCTAAACAAGTCATTGAACAACAGAAGAAACTAAATTTAATTATTTTGGTATAATTTTTTCCAACTGCTGCTAAGTAACGTAACTTTAGTTCTCCATGGTTCACTACAACGTGATTGGATGCTGTCAGATTGGTTAAAAGAAAGTGGATCTGGGGAATTAAGTCAGTCAACTTGCTGGGAATGAATGGCGTTAACGTCAGTTGATTCAGGAAATTAATCGATTTGTGGCACACTTTAAATAACATATTTCTAAATCTTTGGTCTTGGGGGAAGGCATCAAGTATTTTCCATTCAAAAGGCTCAAGTCCAAGTGAAGTCACGACTCATTGATGTTAAAATCCTTACAACAAGTCGAGTTGTAAATATTTTTCTGATTCTGTCAACTCCAGTCCACACCTAAAAAAAACATTTACTCACATTCTATCCGGTACTTCTCCATCTCTTGGACTTCAGCAATAGATTCTCGCAAATCGTCGGTAAACTTTTTGCGGTCCTGAGGATTGGGTGCATTGAAGTTGATGAGGATTTTGATGTCAGCTCCAGGAATGGCAGAGGTCAGACGTACTCCATTGGGATAATCTAAAGGCAATATCAACACTTAAACCTGTGTCCATAGAGAATGACAGATCGCTTCCACAAAAATTAGGGTTGCTTCAATAACAGACAACACTTCTGCTACCATTAAGGTGCCAGTGTGCTTCAAACTAACATGCCCACTTCATGCATTGGCGGGCCAGGTGTTCGAAGTAGTTAACCAAGGCAGGGTTTCGACTACTCTCTCAAACTCTTTTGCCATTCCTCACACAGCTGTTTTAGACACTTTTTGTTTGTACGATTGATAGAAAAACCTTGATAGAAAGACTGTCTTAAAGTGTATCCAGTGGCCTTGGATTGTGGGCATTCTGAACAGCATTAAACACTTTTGATTTTAGACGGGTTGTCGTACAAACTAGTTGGTTTGAAGCATACCGACAACTTTAGAAAGAGCGTACACAAAAGTCTCTGTGGCACTTACACTGATTCTCAAATAGCAGCACTTGCATGCCATAAAGTGAGAAGGACTGCCGAAAGCTGTACGTCACAGAATTCTTCTTCTTTTGGAAAATCTTTGTAACCTATGAAAAAAACATAGCATACACTGTGGTTTAGACTCTTATGAGGGAATGCCCAATGTGTGTTCTCAATGTGCTGGAAGAATAATGTCTGCCATACCACAAGCAGGTCATTAAAAAGGAAGATCTCCCTTTGGTGCAGGCCCAACTTTTGTGGTTTGTTGGGGTCGGGCACTTCGAAAAGTCTGCAGTAACAGACCAATCTCCTGTGGGGTAGGGATAGCACCTGTGCACACAATACAGCATAATTTCTGAGATGCCTCACAGGAGGCTTTTGAGGTTGTCTAGCAAAAATATACGTTTATACATTCCATAATGTCTGTCAAAATCTGTTCCATGAAGCCTTTGGGTATTTTACACATATTTCCATTCAACCTTAAGATGTAGATGATGTAGAGTAATACTTACACAGCCCAGACCGTGGTGTAACGAGCCAATCTATGAAGTGAGAGATACATACAAGGATTATTTTACAGGGATCAGTGAACACATACAGGAACTTTTAAATTCACAATACATTAAAGTTAAGACATTCCACACGGCGTTCAAAAAGAAATACAGGCCAAATTTTAAATCAGGGAAAGTAGTTTTATGCATCACAGAGCAAACATCTATGTGTCCCTCACTGCCCTTCTGTTAATATGTTGTGTTTCCAGTGTGTGTCAACCTTTATGATTATGACATTGTCAGGTCCCTCGAACTTCTGCTGATTTGTGTTAGTTAGTTTGACGAAAAGGGCATCAATGGATCGGAGGGATGGGTGGGGTTTCAAGTAAACACCTTCAAGATCATTGGGTTTGAGGCTATTTATCTAATTTATTATTACAGAGCTTGCCAGACGACACTTTTCTTGGCCGGCACTTTGGGCAAAAGACGTATTATAGCCATTCAGCATTAAGGTCTCCAGCCCTGAAGAATTGATGTGTCTGAGTCACACAACAAAGAAAGTAGGTTCAAGTAAAGAATGCGCTTTCATTTCTGTTAATTTTTAGAGGACGTAGGCCATGAATAAGCTGGTGCTCTCTGCGACAGCTCAGAAGTACATTGCCTAATTTGGTTCTGCATGCTCCTGCTAGATTCAGCTATTGAATACAGGGGAAGATAAAAGTGGTCACACTCTACGTGCAGCAGCCCAAGGGCAAACTCAGACTTACCGGCTTTTTTCCAACAATGAGTTTTTCCACTTTCTGAACCTGGGACACATGGTCTTCATTAGTCTTGAGCTCTCGCTTGCGAATCCGCTCGTATATCCCTACCAGCATCTCTCGGGGGATGTCCTCCCCATCATCCACTCCTGCCAGAGGATGAGAGAAAAAGAGAGAGAAAGAAGAGAAGGATTAATGTTTAATTCACAGATTTACGAGAGCTGACGAACCCCTGAATTTACTTACATACTGCTGCACTGCACATATTTCTCACAGTACAGACAGAAACGTCCTTCAGAACTCTCCGAGGATGAGTATTTCTCCTCCACTCAATACTGTACTTTAATTACTGACACTCCAATAGGCAGAGAAATGAGTTAGCCATGCCACAAAGCCCCTGCTAATACCCTCAAAATCTGTTGAGGGCAACTAAAAAGTGCTTTGCCTCAACAGCAGAGCTTTCTTGGCCATGACTTACAAAAAAAAAAACCTTATTGACACAGTCATTAATCGAGGCAAAATGCATGCACAAAACTCAATTTGAGCTGAATATTTATCCTTAGAGCTGCACAGTAGCGTATGGATATAATAATGGTTTTGTGACAGTAAGCTCGACCTAGTGCAGGAAGGGGGAACAAAGTACCTCGGAGGTTCTTAACAAAGTCCTCCAGCTTCATCTTCCTCTCAGGCTTGACGTTAGGGCTGTACATGTCCGTGTTGAGGAGGATGATGGCAAAGGCCAGGATGAAGATGGTGTCGGGGTTCCTGAACTGTCGCACCACACCAGGGTTGCAGATGCAATAGCGTTGGCTGCAGGTAGGAGATTGGACACAGAAACTTTAAAGTCAAACTGAACTGAACTGTTAATGTTTCCTGTAACCTCCACTTATGGGCAATATCAATACTGATATTAATATTAAACTCTCCACTATCTGAGCCGTGGTCATATAGAGTTAAATAATGCTTCATAGCCCCAACTCAAAAGCACAATAAGCCAGTACCAGTGAAGACTGTAGATACAGCCTGCAGCCATCAGACAGGCTGTTTAACAGCTTTCTGAGTCACCATAAAATGAGTTCATGATCATATCTGGACTGGGCTGCAGGCGAGTGCCAGATGATCAGTTACCATCATCTCCCCAATGTTAACAGCGACCGCAGTGTTTACCGAGGCCGAAATGTCCTTGCTCAGTGCTGATGGAAGCCAATTCTCTGTGGGTATGGGAGCACCTTTCTACATGAGGTATGGAGTAAATAAATGAGGGATAAACAACATCCATCAATAGCCCTGCAGGAGGTTTTTGTCAACGTTTCTAACTAATTCTCCCCAAATTATTTCTGAGTGTCTGTGTGTCTGTGAGTCTGTGTTTAAAATGGCTTTGTACAGCTGCCCTGTGAGTATTAAAGGAAGATGGTGACTTTTTGGTGTCACTTCTGTTTTAGAGGGTAATGGTGTTTTTGAAATGGTGCAAAGCTAGCGTGTGCTATCCATTATTCATACACGCTGTGTTGGTGGTAAATGCTAGACATGGCAAAGAACCCAGTAATGATCATCCTGTCACATAATTCTCAGTTGGTCTAAGTTAATGTAACACCCTGCTTGCAAAATCATCACTTTATTCCTTCCAGCTGTGGAAAAACTACATGACTTGAGGTGATCATCTTGCAGCCATCATTGAGCCCAAGCTGGTTGTGGGAGATGAAACCCTGTCGTGTGTTGTGGCCACAGCTTTTAGAGTTTCTTACCTGTAGGCCTCTATCAGCCGCTCAACCTTCTGAGCTTCTCCCTGCACTCTGATGTGTGCCTGGAATTTCCTGAGTGCTTCATCCAGCTCCATACTTGAGAAGTCCATTTCATCCACCACACAGCTGGTGAAAAACACAATTAGCAGC